GGTGGGGGGTGGGGGGCACCGGGGGGGCCACCCTTAAAAGTGGTCGATGAGCACCGACACACAGTTGGCTCCCACCAGGTAGTTGGGGTCTCCGGGGAGGGACTTGTTCTGCCAGCTTTTTGGGTCACCTGCAGACAGATAAAACAGGGGTGGGGGGGTGTAGGTGAGTGATAACAGCTGCTTTTTATGTTAAAAACTCCTGATTTAAAACACGTCATGTGGTGTAATTCCCAAAACAAATTCAATCACATGGCCACAAAGTGATGATGCTGTTAGAAAAACAGATCCGCCTGCTGAACTCCATCATATCTATTGTCAGATAATCGAGTTACGGAGCGACTTTGTGGCTCATTTCCAAGCGCGGCGTCACAAGAGGCCGGTAAAAGCTATCGTGGATTTTTTTTTATCGAACGTCTCCAGCCTCTCGCCGACTACAAATTAAACCCGGGTCACTGTGAGGTCGAAACCAAAGTGTGATTGTAAACATGAGGGTCTTTGCCAGGGGGCAATCAGAGGATGTYAAACCAGAACAGCTGAGCTCCGTCGATTAAACGCAGACATGTGACAGTTTACATGAAGCCAAACTGAGCTGACGTTTCCAGACTTCCTCTATTTGATGTCTTTAAAGATAATAAAGTYCCTGTGACATGTCTATCCTTCAAATACAAAAAGGTCAAAGAAAGCATCTTTATACTTAAAAAAATTGGCATAGTACACATTAACCATTTTGTCACATAACTGACCTATTTTCTTTTATATTTGTCTCAGCCTAAGTGAAACAGGAAGTGACATCAAAGGGGAACTCATTAATAAAATAAACTCTCTGGTCTCTGTTTATTAAAACAAAATTATTTAAACTTTAACTCTTCTTCGTCTCGCTTTGATACCAACTAAAAATAATCTAAAGAAACATCAGATTCTTCTCTACAGTCTGTGCTGTTAGCTTTTCTAACGCTTTGTTTACATGCAGACATTCCCCTTCGACATCACTTCCTGTTACTTCACAGGCAAATATCTCAACAACAATTCAACTGAGCGACATGAAATTTGTTTTGCAACATGTTATCAATGTTATCTTTCCAAAAATGCATTCATGGTTATTACAAAAATTTAATGTCACTCTTTAATGGCCTTTTCCCCCTTACATTACTTTTACTTTTATACCAAGTAGTTTTCAAACCAGTACTTTTACACTTTTATTTGCTTGAGTTGATACTTCTAGTTCCAAAGAGTTTTTTTTAAGACTTCTACTTAAGTAATGAATGTAAATAACATCTCAAGAGATCATTTATGAAGTTTGAACAAAATAAACTCTGTTAAATTAATATTTGTCATGGAAGGATTTTAATTACTATTGTTCTCTTGTTGTTTTTGCTGCCTTGATACTCATCAATTATCTAATTGTAAGACATTCTAGAGCAGGGGTGTCAAACTCCAGTCCTTGAGGGCCGCTATCCTGCATGTTTTAGAGGTTTTCTTGCTCCAACACACCWGATTTTGATCGCTGGGTAATTAACAGGCTTCTGCCCAATTTGAAGAGTTAATTCAATCACTGAATCAGGTGTGTTGGAGCTGGAAAACCTCTAAAACATGCAGGATAGCGGCCCTCGAGGACTGGAGTTTGACACCCCTGTTCTAGAGGCTGAGGAGAATATAAATGTATTTTTGGTTTAAACATTTAGAGCAGAAGTGCTAAAACTGGAACAAATGAATGTCTTTCATCTGAAACCAGCCTGAAAATCAACAGAAAATAATCTTTCATTTCTGTCAGTTCATTCCACATAAAAACAGTCATCTTCACACATTATAAATATGAAAAAAAGYCTTTAAACAATTCAATTAACGGAGCTAAACTGTATCACACTGGTTTTGATTGAGGTAACCACAGTGAGATCACTGCAGAGGAGAAGTGAAGGAGAAAAGCAGGTTTTGAACAGGAGCAGAAAAGAAGCAGGAAAAAGTGAGAAGAAAACCACAGAAGGGGATAAGTCGAGGCCAGAGACTGGTCTTGCCTCACAATAAGAGGATTATGATGCGGCCCAATAATCCTCCCACGATTCTGCAGGACAACGAAGTGAGCTGACATTTTCTTTCAGGATCCCAAGTCTCATCCTTAAAATGAGGCTAATTAACAGCTAATCCTGACCACTGCCAAAATTACAGCCGTCTGAAGACGGTGTGAGAGGGACAGGATCACAACAAGAGAGCAGAGAAAAGACTTCCTGGTTCCACTTTTCTTTTCATAAAACTTCACCTTCAGTTATTWATCAAAGACATAAACTGTAGTTTTTACTTACAGATTAAAACCTGTTCTGTTGTACGTGTCGCTTCATTTAAAATGTGATATTTTTGTTCTTCTTTAAGCCGAACGACTCGAGCAAAATATAAATCAACTAAATCACAATGTCCTGACGGTGGAGTACAAGTTATTTTTAGAGATTTGCTTGAATTCAGCCTCTCTCTCCCTGAAGTCGGCAGCAGACGTTTCTGCTTCTTCTATTTACATCTGTCTTTGTCATTTTCTGATCCAATTTTACCAGCTGTGTTTGCTTTAAAAAAAAAAAAAAAAAAAAAAAAAAACAAAGACAGAGAGAACAAAAGCTGACAACAAAGTGAATTTGCTTAAACCTGAAAGCTGCATTCAAAAGAATAACTTTAATAGTCATGGAGCTAAATTTAGGGAACTACATTTTGACAAAAAAATGATTTTTATTTTGTTTTTGTGCAACTTTTGATTTTATCCAGGATGACGGGTGATACTGGTTTTGACGACGCCCCAGTTTTCAGAAGCTCCAGAAGCACCGTTTGTTCTTCGGGTCAGAATTTGGGTGGCTATGTGAGAAAAATTATTCTGAGCAGAAAAGGAAAGCGCTTTAATCCTATCTCATGACATCCAGTGATGGAGCAGCCAAGCTGAATGTGTTGCAAGTAAAATGAGAGAAAAGATAACTCAAAGAAATCAAGAGAGAAATTAGCATTAGCGAGTTAAAGTGATAAAGCTCCCAAAGGAAACCAGTGATACAGCAAATGAGATTGTGTCGATGAGTTAACCAGCATTAAAAAAATTGGTGGGAAAAAAAGCATAATTTGATAAAAAGGCAGATTTTTCTCCCCAGATTGATTCTCAGATGTTAGGCTTAGCTGAAAATTTTATACGGTTGATTTTCAATAAAGAGAATCAAAGCTAAGGATAAAAGCTGATTAAATTGTGTTGAAAAAATAAATAAAAACAAAAAACTCAATTTGTCACACAGCCAGCCCAAACGACCCCGGAAAGCAGAGTGAGCAAAGCGTACCCGACGAGGAGTCGGAGGATTTTAGAGCAAAAGACCAACCATCAGGGGTCATAGACGCACAGTGAGGTAAGCGGAGCTCCACGGGTTTCAAAAACTTCAGGCCATGAGGTCCACACATCACCAGAGGGCTGAGCAAAGTCTCTCCTGTGAACACAAACACAACAAAACAACAGTGCGAGCTCGGTTAGCAGGTTACACACGTTTCAAACGTTTCTGTATTTTATACTAAAAAAGGAAAGATTTCAGTTTTTAATAAGAGAGATGCTGTTTATGTTTACAACAAAACATGACAAGCATAAATTGATCTGATTTATCTTGAGATCGAACAACAAAAAGTGAAAATAATGGCAGACATGTCCTGTTTTGATATTAAAAAGGAAAGGAAAGACTGTCCAGTCTGGGCTCAAGCAGAAACAATAAATGCATTTCCATATAAGAGTTTTGGGACAAATTACCACCAACAGCTCAACCTACTCTCAGACCCTAATCAAGCTTTTACCAGTTTAAAATAATTGACTGAAGCTGATTATTTGTCATTTTGACAAGTTAGCTTAACTTAAAAGGAGAAAAATCATGATTTTAAATCCTTTTTCACATTTGAATCCTTCAGTTTGGGTCTAAATAAAGTGGAACTGCAATGCTTTGATCTGGATTCCTCCTTATTGTAACTCCACAAGCCCATCTCCCTTTCTGAGGCGTGTCTCAGATCAACTCGTTTTGAGGCTGTCTCTTTAAATCAGAACAAGGCGTTTCACATCCCGCCCCCCTCCAGCTTCCAGACCGGTTCATTCTAATGTGACAGAAGAGTTAACGACTAAATAGCAGCACAGAAGCTTTTTAAATTAACAAATAAATAAAAATATGTCAATAAGAGACTTGTCCATCCAGCCTTACATGTTGGAGTCAGTCTGACCCAGGCCCGTCACGATAATCAATAAATCAATTAATCGTATGATTAATTATTTTGAGGTCGATGATTTTCATTTGCCTGCTTGCTTCTTTACTGTCGTCTCTCCCTCTCTYTGCTCCGGTGCACAGGGGGCTCGACTGACCCCTCCCCCTCCTGTTTTCTGAGAGTCAGGAGGAGTGAACTCTCGTGTTAGGAACTGCCAGGTGTGTGGACTCGTCCCTCTTTAGCATGAGAGCTCGTAGCAATAACAAACTAAAGAAACGTTGTTGGGACTCTGAAAAACGGAGATGGAATTGGTTTCAAAGCCGAACGCGACAGCTGCAGTGTGGGAGACTGTGGTGAACATATTAACCTGTGTGAGCCCGTATGTTAAATTTGTTGTAAAAAAATAGCAAGTAAAATTAGCAATACTACTCACAGACCGCAGTTCGCTTCATCTCTAAAGAGATGCCACTTTTAATATTTTTTATTTACTGTTTTAGTTGTGTGTGGTGTTTAATTTAAATTTTGCTCAGTTTTTTTTATTCAAGTCCATTTTTGTTAGACTGAGAGTTTATTTTGTTAAACATTCTTAAAAAATAAAAGTTTATTGATCTTTGAGAGGATGTATTTACATATTACACTATTATCATTWTATTAGCTTTAAAATGGTCACCAGACAATATTATCATTTATTGCAATAATTTCTGAGACAATTAATTGTCCAGCAAATTTTATTATCGTGACAGGCCTAGTCTGACCCACAGCCAGAGGAGAATGAAGACCACCAAACTGTAGTTGGTAAGTCCAGACCTTATTTAGAAGTTTTCTCGCAAATAATTTGACGTAATAGTTCAGAAAATGTCGTAGACAATAGAGAAAACTGAATGGGTTGAAAAATATGACCCAAACAGAATATAAAGATATCTAATAAAAATATCTACACAGCATTGGTAAGAACAAAATTAATCTTTTCTGCACTTCTAGAGACTTCAAGTACAACAAAATTAACTTAACTAATAGAAAAGTGGATTTTGCATGATAAGAGCCCTTTAAGGGGCTTTAAATGATCAGAAAGCATTTTTCTGTAAACCATTTCAACGACACCAAACATGCTTAACGTTCCTTTGTTTGTTCTGGTAAAACTAATCTACAAAATAACAAAGCCACACAGATGGTTTACATGAGACATGATCTGTTTGTTACTTGCTCTAAAAGTCTGATTTAAATCAGAATCCAGATGCTGGCTGTTAGCACAGCAGCAGCTGCTCCTCCTTGCTTTGACAGGCAGACATGGCGTTAGATACGGTCATCCTCCATGTTGTGGCAACAATGAAAAGCAAACGTCTCACAGCCATTATCGTGGCACACAGAAAGTGACAGCAGCGTCTCCTCACATCTGCAGTCATAATTACACCTACATTCTGTTTTGGCACCTGCAACAGCGACGTTTAACGGGCCAGCTCATCTCGTTTTATTCTTTCAGAGTGGCGCATCGGCCAAATCTGACTCTCACCGCTGTCACAGCTAGATAATTACATTATCGCCTTATGACTCACAGATCTCAGCTTTTCTCCCTCAGCTAGAGGAAACGTAATGAAGTGCCACAAAACTCGAAGCAATGTGACAAGAAGCGCAAGTATCTCATTTCAAGTAGACTTTAAAYAAGTGATTAAATTGTAACTACAGCTGCTTCATCTAAAAACAAAAAGAGCAAACATTTGAGATAAGTGGGACCCAGTAACGCCTCATGCTGGAGGACTCGAACTTTAGGTCTTCTGATGGAGAGAAGCCACAAAATCTAAAAAAGTAGCAATGTCTGATGTGCCTTAATGATCTTTTACAAGAGTCAGAAACAACAACTCGGAGTGAACATGCTGACAAAAAACACAAGCAACAGGAAGTGCAATACAGAAACTTTTTTTTTATCCAAGTAGTCCTAAACAAAGGCGGCTATTCATCATCATAAATCCTTATTTTTAGGAGCATTACTACTAGGATGCAAACAATTAATCGACTAAATTGCAAAGGTAGCGCACTACGTTGCGAAAGACCCTGGACATTTGTTCCCCCGTTTGTCGTGTGTGTGTGTTTCTCTGGACGGATGTTCTGAACTGCAAATTTCGTTCTGCATTGCATCTTGATTTTGTGTGTGAATGACAATAAACGATTCTTGATTTTTCTTGACTTATGATTAATTGTCGAATAATGGTTTATTAGATAAATATTTCTTCCATTCGATTAACTGAAAACATCATTTTAAACCTTATTTCAGTGTAGTTTTGACTTCATCCAGCAGAGGGCGCTGCTGCTCTTAGCCTGGCCTGACTCTACCACGGCCCTGTTGAGCTTAGCATAAAGCAGCCTTGATGTGGGTGGGCAGTGTCGTAATTAAACGTGTGAATCTTATTTAGTTTTATTTGTGTCCAAGTTTAATAATGAGAGAAATCCACATTTCTCTGTTCATTCAGTCAGTGTTTACTCACACAGCTGGCACAATGAATTGTTAAAATACTGTATTTTTTAAAATTAGCATGTAAAAAATTAGCTCTTCATGTTATAGAAAGACCCTTCAAGGGAATGTCAGGTTTTTAAGAAAATGGCCACTTATGAATTAATCGTTAGTCGATCGATTAGATCAGTCAACTTTAGATTAATTCATTAATCGATATCTTGCATCCCTAATTACTACAAATGTGAAGTTTTCTCTGTCTGTTGGCTGATTTTGATTACAGCTAAATCTTGAGGTACAGTAAAACCCCAGTCAACGTTAACYTTAGACGCACAGATACAACAATAAAGTGAAGTACAACACGGCAGAAGAAGAGTTACCTTTCTCCTTGTCGAGTGGCGGCAGGATGCTGTTGTCTCGGCACACCTTGAAGTAAATCTCCTGCTCCACCCCCTCAGGGATGGCACCCTGCGGGATGATTATGCTGACGCCCGTCTCAATGGAGCTCAGAACGCCGCCGTTGGAGTTGAAGATGCCGCGAGCCGTCGCAACCACAGTGTGACCCTCATCTTCATCGTCATCTTCTTCCAGGGCGCTGGGGCTAGGGAGGGTGGGGATGGCATTCACCGTGATTGTCTTTAAAGAGCAGCTTTGGTTCGTTCTGGACTCTGGGCGTGTTTGTTACCTCACTGGGATGGCCTTGGGCACGGCGTTGATGTTGTTCTGCTGGAGTTTGGAGCGATTATCCACGGTGCGAGTGAACGTGTCCAAACCGCTGTCATGGTCTGCGTTCTGAGGCTGTGGGGATATCTGAGGCTTCACTGGACTGGAGCTTTGGGCCTGAACCATATAAAAAAGAGACATATGTAGTAGGGGTGCAACAATACATGAACCCGTACCAAACCGTTCAAATACAGTACTTTAGGTTCAATACACACTTGTATCAAACAATACAGATTATTAAAATTTATTTTATCAGCTTGTTTTGTGAAGATGCTCTGTGTTGAAGGATCAATGGATTTGTGTTCGACTACTCCACTTAGGCTGCATTGTCGAGCGCAGATTCACTGAGAAACTTGCTGTTTCTGCAACATTTAATTAAAAAACTGGACTTTTGAGGTTAAACAAATGCTCAGAATTAATTTAAATAAATTGGAAGGTAAAAAGGGCATGGAAATATCTTCTTTTTTTGTATCGAAAAAATATTGAACCGTGAGACTAAAATATTGAACTGAACGYTGAATTTTCTGTATCGTTGCACCCCTAATATGTAGTATATGTCAGTAACAAGGAAGAACTTTGACCACATACACCACAAAAAAAAAAAAAAAATTAAATAAAAATAAAAAGATTAAATCTGCTTACTCTAGGGACACTCTCAGGTTTGTCATTGGGCAGAAGGTTGTGGTTGAATTTAGGACTGTCGAACATGCGTGCAAAAGGTTTGGCAGAGGTGGTGAAGGGCTTGGGGTATCGGTTGTAAGTGGTCGACGGCGCCGAGCCGGAGATCGTCTTTGGAAGCTGTTCGCTCGTTCCGTTAACTGGAGTCTTCTCAGGGAAACTCTTCTGAGGCAGGAAGTTGGACTGGACAGTGCTCTCCCGGACAGGAGGCTTAGCTGTGAAAGAGATGCGACACTCCATGAAACAATTTTAAACCATTTTAAATCGGTTTATAAAGAAAATTGTAAATTTTACCTTCAGACAATGGTTTAGGCAGTATGGCTGGTGGCAGGGATGGTGTCACTTGGGGAACTGGTTCATATTTTTTCTCCACTGGACTCGGTTTCTCTACTGGCTCCATCCTGCAACACCAAAACAAAATAAATATTAAGTTTCAGAAATTTAAGGACTTCTACTRCCCCTTTCACACCTATTATTGCATCCAAKCACAACGCAGCACAGAACCGTTTTCATTCAAATGTGTTAAAGGGATCCACGATTAGTTGTAACATTAGACTTTATTTGATAAACATTTATTTTAACTGTAAAATAAAGACTGTAAAAATACTGTAGGCTGTTTAGTTTAGTAAATTTTTAAAAATATATTTTAATTCGGATGGGGCCATTTTATTTACACACAAAGCATTCTGGTTAAATGATGACGTGGATAGGTCCTCGGTGTTAGCAAGCTTTATCCACCCTGAAGGTTAATCTTGGACAATATCTGARGATRSYCTCTTTTAAATGAAACCAGAGAGCGTTGACAGAGAGGAGAAGGTAGAAATGACTCAGCCTGTAACTGAAAATATAGATGGGAGGACAACAGAGCTGCTTCATGGAAGAAGAACCTCAGCTTAGCCTGTTAGCTTTAGTGTTAGCACTGACACAATATTGCCTTATACTGTATGTATTAGCTCGGCGCTAACAAACTAACAAGCTTAATTGAGGTCCTCCATCTATATTTTCAGTTACAGACTGAGTCATTTCTACCTTCTCCTCTCTGTCAACGCTCTCTGGTTTCATTTAAAAGAGTCTATCGTCAGATATTGCCCAAGATTAACCTTCAGGGTGGATATAGCTCACTAGCAGCCTCGCACTGAGGACGTATCCACGTCATCATTTACCCAGAATGTTTGTGTGTAAATAAAATGGCCCCATCCGTGTAATATATTTTGAAAAATTCTGTTTAAAAATTATAAAAACTAAACAGTATTTTTACAGTCTTTATTTTACAGTTAAAATAAATGTTTATCAAATAAAATGCTACAACTAATCATGGATCCCTTTAAGAAGTGCGTAATCATCMATCATGTATTAAACAACTGCTAAGTGTGTCGACAGCGATCTTCCCGTAGCATGTGCAGCAGCAGCTTTATGAGTCTTGCCACTCTGATAAAGTGAAACCAATGTGTAAAAAAGGGCTATTTGTTGACATATTAATACAAACGGGGACAAACTATCACCTGGGGTAGCTGTGGGTTGTTTGTGCTTGTGGTTTGTTAGGTCCAACTTGAAGTCTGTCAAAGTAAGACAGCTGTTTCCTGTAGTAGTCTTCATCCTCGTCAGGATCGTAATGATTGGAGCGAACTATGTCATCAGCTGCCTTGGACTGTGGTTTCTGAGGTTCTGGAGCTCTACGTTGATTAACAGTGACAAACGAAATGAGACCGTCAAACACACAAAACGGAAGAATACAAGTTTGTAATGGAAAACTGCTAAAGACTGAGCATAAATATGTAAAATGACAGGGTTTTGTCTAAACACAAGAACAACAGATTTACCTTAAGCTCTTCTCTTGATCCAGGTTGCTCAGAGAATTAGCTTTAGGAATCACTCCACCTGATTTAAAGGGTAAATCAGCTGCCTAAAATAGTAAAATCAACACATGAGCAAGGCATGAATTCTCCCTGTCAATCATTTTTGRCACCACACATCACTCGTGTGGTAATTAGGTGAAAACCACTTACCTTATTCCCAGACGGATCCCCTCCATCTCTGACTCGGTCCACAGACACAGAACGTTTGTTCTCGAACATCTTGACCCTCGTCAGGACCGACTGGGGCCGCATGGCGGGGTCCTCTTCGTGACGTTCCTCTCTGACGGGAGCAGATTTTGGAGCCTCCGCGGGGGAAGGTGAGGGGGTGTCCGCTTTCATACGGCTGGCTTCGTAGTTCACAGGAGCGGGGTCGTACTGCTGGGGTTTGTGGCCTTTCAGCTGCGACGTCGCTCCCTGGTTGTAGGCGGGTCGCTGGGCGGCGGGTTCCGGGGAGCGAGCGGCTGAAGGGTACGCGCTCAGGTGGGGGTCCTGATCGTACCGCTGATCGGACCCTTGGGGAGGGGGCGGGAGGTCGTCGTGGTGGACAGGCCCCTGACCTGCTGGTTTACCGTAACGGGGCCGCCCGTCGAATCCCTGCTGGGGCGGGGGCTCGTCGTAGCGTAGAGGGGGGGTGTACTGTGCATCGGGGCCATCGCTGTAAGGCAAACGGACATCATACGACAGGGGGCCTGCAGCGGAGTGGGACTGACCGTACGGGTTCCACTGCTGCTGGTCGTAGTGAGGCACGCTGTTTTCATAGAGCGGGATATGATCGCTGCTCCGATACTTTGGTTCTGTGTAACCGCCTCCACCGCTGCTGACGTCATACCGACTGGGCGGGTGGTCGTAATCTCTGTACGGCTGTTGGTCAGGGTGGTACGGCTGCTGGGGGCTGTAATTCATCGGCTTCATGCTGTTACCGATTCTCCCCGCGTGGTCCATGCTGTAGGGATCCTTCTGAAACATCTAACAGAACAAAAGAAGATTACAAACATTGCAGGCTCCCCTGGCTTGCTGCACAAACTAAATGAGTTATACAAAAAAAAATGAACACACAAAAATTAATTAAAGGATCAAACACTAAAAAACAAGTCCTTGAAAGTCAGAGGAGATAAACAGGAAGGGAAAGACCTGAAATAGAAACACTGAGAGGGAAGAGTTACTAGTCACAATATATTTGACACCAAATGGAGATCACAGCACAGCCAAAAGAAAAACAAAATAAAAACACAGTTTACCACTGTAACTTTAACTCAATTAATGAAAAACAAACAAAGCAGGAATAACACTTAAAAAGCTGCACCAAAACATTGGGGTATTGTTTGAATATTTAAAGGCCCCGTCACACTATAACATTTTAAACAACCTATGCCAAATTTAAGAAATTTTGTTATGCATAAATTACTCATATGTTTTTTTATTCCATCTTCAATGTAAACATTTGTAATGTTGAACAAAATTGTCAAAAGTTGGCATAAGTTGTTTAATACTTCATAGTGTGGCAGAGTCTTACAGATCAAATATGAAAAAAAAAAAGCGCCAGATAAGCATAAACCTACAATTTAGTTGCAGTTATTTCGGACAAATACTTTAAATAAATTACCCACTGTCTTGGTGCAATTGTAAAGAAATGTCCACAATTATTTTACAGATACAAGCACATAGAGAGAAAAAAAAGATAACACATTGAATTTTTATATCTGAGAAGTAACCATAAACTGTCCATCCAAATTTTTAAAAAACCCACGTTTTTATTTAGGTGTTACTGGGTCAGATGTTAGGTTTCTGCAGCTACACGTGTGCATTAATAAAAATATGTTTGGAAAGTAAATGGCTACTTTTACAAGAAACTGATTCATTCTCTCATTTGGTTTTAGTTGTTAACAAGAGGACGCAAACATGTTGCAGCCATGCAAAGAAGATAAGCAACAGTGAGAGTTGCAGAATTTCCACCGCTCTTCAATATGTAGAAAAATCAGCGCAGCCGCCAGCTCCAAGCTCACTGTTGTTTACCAGCACGCATACACACACACACAAACACACACACGCTCACACATTTTTGTCTTTTCTGGGCAGCACTTCGATCAGCTGACATGCAGGGCAGAAAGAGAGAAAAAGCAGCAGCAGGAGGTAGGTAGACGGGCAGCAGCGCAGCAGATCAGCTGGGCCAGATCGAGCCGAGCCGGGTCGCGAAGCGTCCGCTGATGAATAGATGGATACCTTTGGTTCTGAACTGGCCGGTCCGGACTGTAGAGGTTCTGGTGTGATGCTCTTAGGGGCTAGCTCAGGGGTGGGCCTCCTGAGCGAGCCAGCCTCTTGGCTGGGGGCCGGCTTGCTGTAAGGAGCTGCAGGAGCATCGTCGGGGCTCAGAGCCCCTACAGTTTTTACAGAAACGTCGGCAGGAGGGGGAAATGCCTCAACCAGGGGCTCTGCCTGCTGGGAGACGCTAGGTGTGACAGCGGCTTCTGCTTTCTGTGAAGTGGTTCAGAGATGTTTAATAACACGTGCTGACACACGACGCTGCAGTTTTAACAAGTGCTTCCACCCTGTCCGCCCCTCTACAACCATCTGCTCATCATCCCTGTAAACTAACCTACATGTGTTTTAACAGCAAATGAAAACGAACCAAAAACATCAGAGTTAGGAATTAGCAGCAGGACAAGTTTTCATTGTTAGAGAATACTAAATGGAGTTTAATTCTATGGTTACAATACAGTAAGTTGTTTCCCCCTCTTTTTATGACCGTTAACATAGAGGGCAAATGTTTTGATCTGGATATGACAACTGCCAATCAAGTATTATTTATACATTTCACAAGTACACTGAAGTAACACTGGTATTTCTGTCATGCACATAATACTTTCTGGTGTCACACTGTCCCAATTATAGGTAGAACAAAGTACACACAGGTGAGTACAGACACTTATGAACAAACATATATATRGTTTTTTGTTTTGCCCGCTGACATTAACAGTAAGACTGCTAAGACACCTCGTGGTTATACAATGGCACAGCAACAGTTTTTTTTTTGGCTTTTTTTWAAATAAAAAAGAACCACCCTAACAGTCAGTATGGAGGTAAATAATTTAAATAAAAATTGTAATAAATAAATATATAGATATATTAAATATTATTATGATAAATACCCAACCACATAAGTTTTCACTTTCTCACTGATATTTTGTTCTGATAGAATAACTGCGAAAAGTTTAAAAAGAATAAATAAAAATCCTTCAATAGCGCCTCCAGAAAACCCTCCTAACGCACACCACGTCCTCCAGACAACAGGGGAGACGAGCGGCTCTCAGAAACGCTACCTGCTGCGGCGCCGGTGCCTTGAACCCAGCTGGGTCGATGCGGTTCAAGGGGTCCGGCTGCAATGAGTGCGGGTAGCCGGCGTAGCCGGGGGGCTCCTGGATGACGGGCGGCTCTTCCCGGACGGGCTCGGAGGAGCGGGTGATGGCGAGCTCGGTCGGAGGGCCCACGTCGTCGTTCAGCGTTTCGTCCAGCTCCTGGTCGGTGTAGGCTCCGCCCTCTGTGTCCGTGTCCTCGTAGTCGGACGTGTGGCGACTGTCGGTGCTGTACATGGAGTACTCGCTGCCTGGCGCCGACAGGTAGGAAAGGCGGTCGTCGTGGATGTCCAAGTCATCCTCAGCTGCCCCGTCCGCCTGAGAACAAGATAAAAACAGTAAATAAAAGCCTTGAACAGCTGCTTCTCCTCGAGTTTGTCCACGTCTTACCTTTCCTTCTGAAACCCACACCAACTGGTTCTGTTGCTGCTGGATCAGTTCTTTCAGCGCTCCAAACCAACCATCATTCATGCTGTTCAAGTTAATGGTTGCTAAATGCAAACAGAATAGGAAACAAATAAGTAAAAAAAATCCACCGGTTAACTCAATAAAAATGAGGTAAAATTAAAAACAACCACAGACAAGAATAAAAAAAAAGATTAAAGCTTATTTTAGAAAACATTCACACTTTTATGTGACATTTTGTTTAAAAAAAGACTTTAAAGAGGCGTACACTGTTGTGACAATTTCCCCAGGGGATCTAATTAAGTTTTACCAAACAACTCATATGGGAAATGTCATATTCTTTAATAAGATTATAAGCCATGCTGAGCTGAACAAAGATGATTTGTATTTTGAAAGTTATTCCCTGTCATAATAAAACAGAGGAACAAATCTTTTAAATATGTTGCTGGAAAGCTTTCATTTCCTATCAGTTGCAGTTTTGTGCATTTTTTATTTGTTTAATTATTTCAGATGTCTTATCTCCCCTATGACTTCACACACTAACCTAAAATCTCCAAACCTACCGTATTTTTTAGAWGATAAATCGTATCACTCATAAAATGCGTCATGAAGAGGATAAAAACATATAAGTCACATTTATTAAGAAATTTATTTTACTAAGTCTAAAAGCAGGCTGGAATAACACACAGAACATACCACATATGCCAAATAGCGTTAACTAGGGCTGCACAATGTTAAGAAAACCTGCAATGTGCAACAACAATGCTTAATATTGTGATGAAGATGACTTGCAATAAATGAATAAATACATAAGTGTGTATGTAGTGTTGATGGCTTTCTGCTCTGGATTCAGAGAGAAAAAAAACTAAATCATTTTCATTCCAGCACAAATTTTTTAAAATATGAAGAGATCTATCAAATTACTCAAATACATGAAGGGCTCCATTTGATTGGTGAAATACTTCAAGCTTCCGTCTGAGTGACAAAGTGCATAAATGTAAACTTCTAAGCCAACAATTTATTTTAGTTTATGCAGTTTTTCGCCATATGCCTTTTGCACAGGCTTTTATCGCAATGAGGATAAACTCGATTTATTGTACAGCCCTAGGCTTAACATATAATAGTTACCAGTAAGTTCAGCAGTCTCATTCCACATCACGAGATTAGCTTTCTTCATTTTCTTCATCCCAGTTAAGAGTAACCTTTGCTTTTTGTCAGTCGCTCACAAGTTTCTCATTTGCTCCAAATATTCTTTCTGCTGCTCGATTACTGTTTTGTTTTGCATATTTTTTTTAAACCAGTACAAGAACAACAGATACTGTAGTTGCCACAAGCCTAGAGCGCCCTCTAACAGCTGCAGATGGTAATGTTTATTCCTTAGTTCATGTCAGTCGGTATGAATTAACATTAATGCATCAGTCAACAAATGTGTAACAAAGAGGAAAAAACATATAAAAGTCACACCTGACTTTAAAGTGCCTGTGACATCAATATTTTGTAATAAATATAAATGTATTTTTGGAAAGATAACATTGATAACACATTGTAAAAAAGATTTCACGCCGCTGAGATGAACAGTTGTTGAGATGTTTGCATTTTCAGTAACAGGAAGTGATGTCAAAGGGGAATGTCTGAACGCAAACAGAGCATTGCTACTATGGCTAACAACACAGACTGTAGAGAAGAATCTGAGGTTTCTTTAGATTATTTTAATCACTATCATAGATAAGAAAGAGTCATAGTTCAAATAATATTGTTTCAATAAACAAAAACCAGGGAGTTTTCTTTCTCAAAGAGTTCCCCTTTGATGTCACTTTCTGTTTCACTTTAGCTGAGGCAAATTCAAAAGAAAATATGCCAAATATGTGATATAATGGGTAAAATCTTCTTTTTGTATTTCATGGAAATGTATGTCACAGGCACTTTAAGTCCCACGACAAAAAAAAAAGTGGCATGGTATGGAAAATACGTTAATTAAAACAATTATTTTTGACAAAGACATTCTGAGAAAAATAGGGGCTTTTTCATGTAGCAGTGTCATGTGACAGAATTTGCATCATCATCCTTATTTTAGCAAATGGTTAACGTTATCCTATAACTTCCCTACTTGTATCGATTTCCTCTATTGAAATGTGCCGTGAACTTACTGGTAAAGAGGTGGAGGTTGTTCTTCCTTAACTTCAGGGCTCGTTCATAAAGCTTCCTCGCGCTCTTCCTGGACTCGGGGCAGAGCCTGGTCCTCATGTTCTTGACGCCCTGCTTGCTGTCTGGGTTGAGAAACACCACAATTGGATACCACTGAGCGTAGTTCAGGCGGTCCACTGCGTTAGGGGTGATGTCCAGCACTGCATGCTTGTCCTTTTCAGAACACAAAAACATGAACAGGTTGTTTGCATTTATTCTATATTTTGGATTTTAAAGCTTGTTGAGCTTTTAAAAATGAAGTAATGCCAAGTTAATATCAATTCCTGTCTTATGTACCTTATCTAGCTCTGGTATTTATTTGGATTTCTTTCTGAATAGAAGCTTAAATCCACTGAGGCCTAAAACAGTGCTGAATAGTAGAACACACCAGAGGGCAGCAGAGAGCTGTGAAATGACCGATGTCTAACCGGGCTTATATTAAAACATATTATTACATACCCACTATTTGCACAAGCACTTTTACTCACTCTGTCAATGATCTGTTTAATAGTATGCAGGCGAATGATGCCAGAGCTTTTCACGTCAGTTCCTGCGTCCCTCGGTTCGCTCTCTGTGGAAGCCGAACGGACAGTCAGTGCCTCACATCAGCATGAGAGACCAAAAACAATAAACACAGGCTGTGCCCTAATTAGACATCCTTGTAGCGTGCAGTTGTCAACTCCCATAAATAGAAAAAAGCAACAATCATTGCACTACAGGAGAGGACAAGTGTACGTTCATAAAAAATATTTAAAAAAAACACTAGATAATAAAAAATGAGGACAGCAGCAAATTCATGCAACAGACTTCATGTATTTTAGGTGGGATTAGGAAATGGAAATCAGTGTTTAATAAATGCTTSTGTGTCAGTGCACATAGCAGTGTAAATAATGGTGCAGCAAATGTGTTATGGTGTGTATGAGTGATACAACGCACATACATGAGCAAGATGGTCATTTGGGATTATTGAGACTACACAGTCACTGGAAAGCCTTGGGGGWTTTGTGCAAGAATGTGAAAAGGGGTTTGTAATTCAAACAAAGATAAGCAATGGCTTCCTGCCTCAAAAAACAAGAAGCGCAAACGAGGGCACTCATGTCCGAATGCCCTGTCCGGTCAGGACAGAAACACGCGAGGCTAAGGCCCAATTTGTCATAGGATCTAAGAACCGGAAACACTCTTTGTAGATTATGTAATAATCCGGAGGTTTAGTAAAGAGCAAATAAATACAGCCATGCACAGAGACGTTCAAGCAGCAATACTTTATAATAAATGTTTGTAGTCTGACCAGCTTAACAATGCTCCTCATTTAATCACGGAATTTTATACTTTATATAATGCAATTTATGGGCGTATAGGTTTGGAAATTAAGTCAGTTCCTGCTGGTAGTTTATTATTTTTGGGACATGGTGGGTTGTTAAGATGATAAAAGGCCATTAGAACCTTATTTCTGGCTCCACAGCATGTTACATTTCACGCAGCTCAACATGCAGCCTTGTTGTTTTCATTTCTGAATGATTAAGTCGGTATTAGGGAGGGGAATACCACTTAAATTAATAGTGATCTTATATTTGTGTCCAGTAATATCCACTACAAACAAAATATCATACTGACACTCATTAACGGAAAAAAAAAAGCTGACAAAACATTTTCATTGAGTTTAAAACATGCACAATCCCACAGACAAAGTGTCTGTTGGTTTGACTTTGTCAAAAGACTGTTATTTGTATTCTTTATTTATATACACAAATTGAATTAACTATCAATAGACTTTTTCTGTGGAGCACCAGCTGAGTGTCAAAATGATAACATGTTTCTAAGTTTCTGCTTCCTTCAACTTTCTAAAAGTTTTTTTTTTTGCATAAAAATAACCACAATTTGCAAAATATGACAACCAAAGAAATATAAATTAAGTGCTATTCCCCTCAATGCATTAACCAAACAAAAAGGCTATAGTTGAAACACCAACAGAATAGGGAACTAGGCACCAAACACTTGATAGATTATCTGTCATTCACTGAATAAAACATAATAAGAAAAGAAATCTAATGCACTAAGTGACATACTTTCCCCTCCTTGTTGTTGTTGTGTTTCTGAAAAGAAAATACAGTTACATAAACATCACTGGAGTTGTGCAAATAAACATTAAGGACTGGAAATACTTTGTGGTCGTGAGCTGAATGGGCTTGTAAGTGTGGTTGTTTAACAAACTGAATCCAAGTGGTTGTAAAGCAAAGCGCTCTTATTTTAAAACGCTTGTGATTTCAAGAAATATGAGGAAACAGATCTGCTAGAGTGACAACGTGAGGTCGCGCTGAAGTCAGTCTAGTGAAAAAGAAACGTAAGACTTTCAAAACAAAGGTCTGGTGGACGTCTTGCTTTCACAGGAAACAAGTTTGTTTAACTTACAGAGAACGGATTTAACTGGAGATATAAAAAAAACTTTTAAACATTTTGGACCTCTTCTGCCAATCTAATGAAATGAAGCCAAAAAATACATCTTTAAGGCATCCCAGAAATAAATTAATATGTAGCTAAAACATTAGTTGATTCTAAAAGCACGTCGGTTTCTGTAGAAAGTCAAAGCAGCGAGAGAAAGGTAATACAAGGCACAGACACAACAGTCTGTTCCACGTTTATTTTAATCTACAAACCAGTTTTGTGATGAAAATGTGATACTGTGACGAAACAGCCCTCAGTTTTCACTGTGTGCAACAGGTGAGGTAAGACTGCTAGAATCACAACAACAACACTGCACATGTCATGAAGATTAGACGGAGAGCTTTATTACTTACTCGCAAGTTCAAAAACGTCTGGCTCCTCTCTGGCTAGTTTCTCTCTGGCCACGTCCGCGATCGGTCCAAAGATGACCACGGGCCTCAGGAACCCAGCTGCAATCCAACCACACAGGTCAGTGAGAGACCCCGTCAAACATGACAGTTAGGACATGTGTTCAATGCAGGGTTAATGAAACGTAGAGCTACGTGAATCATTAGTAACAGGTGGGCAGAAGGAATAAAAGCAAAACCCAAACCCACTCAGGTAACTGCTACACATCTGTCTACTTTTATGTTTTAAATAACATTATGGACTTTTTATTTAATTCATTGAATTCACATAGCACATAATTGACATATTACATAACTACAATTTACTATAGTGTGTTAATCAGGTTTCCGAAAAGCTAATGAAAGCTTGTAAATGAGCCTGAGTACATACAATCTTGTTAATTAAAATACTCACTACACAACATGCATTCTTCATACATATCGTTACATAACAAGTACAACACAGACTATACTATTTATGATCAGTCCATTACAAATCTTACAAGTGGTCTCAGACATATAAAGAAAGCAACTTGGTCTTTAGCTGTTTTTTAAATGTGGAGATGAATTTCAATCTTTTTAATTGCTGAGGAAGCTCTTTTTTTAAATAAATTTTCATACAAAAAAAGAGGGTTTGACTCCCAAATGCCTTGGCTTCTGAAGTCATACCTTCTCGCAGCACAACCCTCTCGTAGGCTGGGAACTTGGTCTGAACCGGCTGGGCTGACAGGTCCTCCCTGCTTTTTCGCAAATTCCTCTTCGAGCTCCTCAGACCTCTGAATCTCCAGAAGTCGGCTCTGTCACCCCCTGGTGTTTTAGGAAGGGTGTACTGCACACTGGACAGCTGCTCGGCTCTGGTCAGGAAAGTGTGTGTGTGAGGTAAAGTTTCTGTGGTTCGGGTTAAAAACAACTATAAAAAGATGTTTTTTTGTTTTGTAGAAAGTTCCAGGTGTTAAATATTTGGCTTCCTGCTGTTTGCTGTGAAAAGCTTTAACAATCTTTTCCTACTGCCTTTAAAAATAGAAACATCATTGAAGTTCCCGAGGATGAAAAATACAGATTTTAATGTTAAAGACATTCTTGTTTATAATTCTAAACTGAGACGTGTTTTGGTCTCAATAAATCGTTTATAACACCTGGAACAGGAAGAGCGTTTTACCATCTGCACAGTAACACTTCTCTAACTGAAAGCTCAATTACAGGAATTGTAAACTATAGAGAAATAGCAAAACTAAACTGTGAAACATTTCCAGTCTCTGACAAACAACAAAGCTCGTGCTCATTTTCCTCCACCTTTGTTTATTCATTAGGATCCAAAACAAGCTGTGCTTAAAAAAAAAAGGTGTGACGGAACATTTTTTACCTGTTCTTGTTGGGGATGATGCCTCTTTCCACTTCCTGGTGGTTCTTGCCAATACGAATGGCGAGCCAGGAGCCCAGTTTGCCATTGTAAAGCGTGTCCACTACACGGAAAACCTCCCCCTTGTTGAAGCTCAGCCCGTACGGAGATTCTTTTTCATATTCAAAGTGCGTCCGAATGTAAAAGGAGTCGCCCACGTCCGATTCAACTATCCTCCGGTACACTGAAATTAAAAGGAAAACAGACGGTGAGAGATTTGCTGTTCATTTGCAGGTTTTGAAATGTGCTTCTAGGATGTTTAAACCGCTAATAAAGTAAATAACTTACCGTCTTTTTTCTTCTGAGCCAGAATGTCAACAACGTCTCCTCTCGGGAGATCCAACAGAAACAATACGGCCTCTTCTCTGATGATGTTTGCAAAGTCCACATTATTCACCTAAAGAAGAAAGAAAAAGTAACACTTTACGTTTTTTCCCCTAAAACCATCATTTTTATACGTCGGAAAGAAAGATGGCAGACTTGAACAAACTCTGTGCMCATTTTTTTAATATTGCAAACTTGAATTTTTGCCATTTAAAAGCATCTCAACAGGAGCAACTTGCAGTATTATTCCAACAACTAAGCAGCCTTTAGGCCTGGTCTCCTGCTGCCATCCTAAGCACAATAACTGCTGTTTATTGACTCTGTTTGAGGGGGGGAGCAGGGGAATCAGAAACACATGGACTGGGTCACTGAACCTCAAAAAGACACCTTTATCCTTCCCAGAAACAGAAAGGCCTCACTGTTTTATCTCCACTAGCACACCGTGACCAAAGGGAAACTACCTAAGGATGGAAAACAATGTCCTGGAAGTCTCTAAGATGTGTTTGTACTGCCTGCAGAGCACACACAGGCACAGAATAAAGGCTGCAGCAGATAGCAGAAGAAATAGACATTGTATTGTTGGTGGCAGGAGGAAAAATAACAAATGGATTTATTTGTTTATCGGATGAACAGTTTGTAAATGTTACTTCKGTAAAAAGATGTACTGAATAGTCTTCTTCCGTTGCATGGTTTAAGTGAAACTACACAGCCTTATAGAAGGTGCAAGACTGGATCCAACACTGACATAAAGAGGGTTTCCATCATTTCATCAGCAAAGTTAAACTACTGTTTGTTGAAACAGTCAGCAACTGTTTTTGAGGTCAGAAGTGCAAGAATGACCTCTATTGTGTCTTCACACTAGATACAATGAGTGACTTGACATGAGTCGGAGCCCGGGAATGACTCACAAACTAACTAATAGATGCATTGTGTTGTCGTCCCCACACAAGATCCCAACATCACTGAAGGACATCTACTGTGGCTGTGAATAATACATTTTCTTTACCTATTATCTAAGACAGTGCAGGGAGCCATTTGGCTATTTTTTATAGAAACAAAAACAAAATACACCAGATGTTCTTCCCACTGCATCAATGTGGGAGTGGAAAAGAACAAACAAAAACGTAATTGGTGCCTTCAAAACACCAAAATCAACTCTAGATGCCTTTGAAATCCAAATCCAGGAAACAGGTGGGAGAGAACTTGGAGAGCTGGAGGTACACAGTTAAAAGAAGAGGAATGAAAATGAGCCATCAACAACAGAATAGTAAGATCAGATATGTTGTATGATTTGGAGACAAAAAGACAGAAAAAAACTGGAAGTAGCAGAGCTGAAGATGTTGAGGCTCAAATTGAGAGTGACAAGGATTAATAAAACGAGTAATGAGATGATCAGGGGTACATCACAGGCTGAATGACTGGGAGATAAAAGTTAGAGGCCAAACTGAGTTGGTTTGGACATGTCCAGAGGAGAGACGGTGYGTGTACTGGTGGGAGGATGTTACAGATGCAGCTGCCAGGAAATAGATATATGGATGCAGTTAAAGAGGGTTTGGAGGTAGGAGGAGAACAAAGATGCGGCAACTGGACTAGGTTGGATTTGGAAAAAAAAATGAAAAGAATCTGACATGGGTCACATTTGCCTGCAGTGTGAACATAGAAAATGTGTGATAAATTCCAGACACTTGTAGGAAAAATATATTCCTGCAAAACAGTTTTTCTTAGACCATCACAACTAATTCAAAGTGTAAGCTGAGGCTAAGTTACTGCAGTTAGAAAACAAGAGTCACGTTGCTCAGGAGGGAGTGCAGCATACCCTGAGAATCTGGTCCCCCTCCTCCAGCCCCTCCTTGGCAGCTGGACTGTCCTCCAAAACTCCCGCCACAAATATTCCCACGTCGTTCCCTCCTGCTAGCCGCAAACCGACACTCTCTCCCTTCTTGAACTTGACCAGCTTCATACTTGGCCTGCAGGAAAAAACACAAACACTGTTACACAAACAGAGAGAAGCAAAAAGATCCATAAAAAAATAACAATTTAAAAACAATATAACCAAAAGACCCAGGAGACATTGGGTGAGTCAGGTGGGCACAGCGCAACAGTACTGAAGGGAACAATATGTGCACTGCATTTGTTGTTCAATTTGACTTGAAAGAAAACAAAACAAAAAAAAAGCTGAAACAATTACCTAAGAATGCTGTCATCGTGAGCGGCGCTGGGAACAGGAGCATCAGACGGGCTGACAGGCAGGTCCACGTCAGGCTGACCAGGCTGTGCATAAACTGGCTTTGGTTCTGCAACATATATAAACAACACATCAGGGCTTAGTTAGGACATCACTCTTTAGCTAAATGATTAATAATGTTATAAAATAAACAAAAAATTCTTAAATCCAAGCTAGACCTAACAAGGTTAGAGGTGTTCCTAAAAAAAGGCAAAAACATAAAATTATTCTCAAAACATTAAAACAGTTATACAGAGAAGTAAAAGTTTTTACTAAACACAAGCCTTAACAAATAATCCTTAATATTAACGAGTAGTTTCTTTACCAGGCAGTGGAGGTAACTGTTTGTCATCTCTGGAGCTGGCCTGGTCACTGGCCTGAGACAAGACACCATCATCAAAGCTTTTGACCGGAGTGGACACGCCTCCTGGTTTGGAAATGCGATCTTCATCTCGACTTCGATGGCTGAAGTAAATGGGGTAAAAAGATTWAAAAAAAAAAAACTCAATTCAGTCTAAGAGGAATGGCAGTGACTAATGGTGCGTTCACACCGAACGCGATTTCAGCTTCAAAATCGCAGCCAACGCTGAAGTTTGAAGCTTGTGCACTTTGAGGTCAGACGCAGGACATCTGCGCTGCACGGCGACAGCCGCCCCGCCCCTCCCTCCTCTGTCCTCTGTCGGGCTCTGTTTAATGTCGGACGAGGAAGTGGCTTTGCTTTATTTACAGACAGCCAGAACGTGTCACGTTCATCAGATAATTAATTCATAATTAATTCACCAGATAATTCAGAGAAGAGGCTCACAGCTGCTTTCAGGACTATTTTTTCAGTCTGATGAGTCGCTGTCACGCATTGCTGCGGATCAGGACACGACTGCAGGCACTCATTTTAGCTAAAGAGCAGGAGCTCCGTCTGTTTCAGGTTAGTGGACCTCATTCAGTAAACTGTCCCGTCGGGAAATATGTCGCTACGTCACACAGTGGAGTCTCTCTGATTGGTTGACGCTGCGCGTCGAGCTGCAAAAGTTCAGATTTCCCAACTTCAGCGATTTGGACMATTTGGACGATCTGAGCGTTCGACGCTCAGATCGTCCAAATCGTTCAAATCGCGCTGCTCTAATCGCGCTTGAGGCGCCGCAGAACTTCCCGACGTTGCTTGAAGCGCCTCCACCATAGACTTTGCATGTAAACCTGCTGCTCCTGACGCTGAAATCGCGTTTGGTGTGAACGCACCATAAGAGAAAGTTCACAGCAATGCCTTCTTTAAATTACTGCATCACTGCCAACGTGTGTCCTTTGTTTAGCAGTTTTGTCCTGCGCCGACATTAGAAGAAAGAAAACAAAACCCCAAAGGAAACCTCGTGAACCAGAACTACGTCACATGGCACATGGAGAAAAAATTGAGAGAAAAGACAATAAGCAATTAAATAAAGTGAGAAAGATCAGTTCAAAGCTATGTGTTTTTATTTGTTGAAACGGTTCAGCAAGTTTTGCAAACGTGCTCTAAATTGCAAAGCTACATTAAAAAACTACATTTTATAGTTGATTTAACGGGTAAAAAACACACTGAAGATGATAACAGACTGATTCACACTCCAACATAAAACCTTAAGCATTGCCTGTCTTTATACCAGATCTCTGCTTAGCCTGATCAAATAAACAAGGAAAAACTGTGTGAGTCTTGCAAGTTATGGGAAAGAAACTTTTGCAGCTTAAAACAATGGTTGAATTCCAATCTGATCACATGACTTGCCCTGCCAGAGTACTTGAGCTTTAGTCAAAAGCTTTTGAACAACAATGTGAAGGTGAAGGCAGTGAAAGTGGCTCAAACTACCCAACATTTCTCATGCCTGTCTTCTCATGTTTTCCTCACGCTGAATAAATGTACACAGAGCATAGGAAATATAGGCCTTAATCACCCAATAAAACAGAATAAAACTCAAAGGAAAATACAAAAACAGTGCACGCATTTCCATTWATAGGCAGATGACTGTCACTTATGGTCAAACCTGATAGCTGTGAAGCTGCAGCACATGCAATGGTTGCAACACTTCCCAAGGCTTTTTGGCTTTTTCTAAATCCCTGAACACTTTCAGCTATTCTCACAAGGARGCAGTTTTAAAAATAAAAACCTGTGTATTTCTTCGCAAGCAGAATGTATCAGCATCAGAGCAAAAGAACGCTGTGGAGAAATAAAATGAACGAGAGATGCATCCTGAGGATATATAACAGTATTAAAATAGAAAAGAGACACTGTGATGGGCTGTATAATGAATGAATCATAGACAGAATGAGAGTAAGAGGACGAAACGGGAAAAACAAAAAACATACGAGGAGAAAACACAGAGTGAAAGTGGACTGGCCTAAATGTTCAACTGCTTGCAGGAAAACAGACCTATTTTTTCCTACCTTTAACAATGACTAACACAGCTTGACAGAACTATAAATCTGTTCCATCCCTTCACTTACTCACTTTTAAGGCGTGAACACAGACAAAAAAAGCAAGCAAAAATGGAAAAGAGAAACAACTGCACAGTCAGAGAAACTATGAAAACAAACCGCTTCCTAACAAGAGACTAAAACTTAACATTAAAAAAAACTAGCAAAATTACAATACTAAAATATGCCAGTTTTGCATATGAGATGCATAAAGATTAATAAAAAAATGACAATATTTAAAAAGTTAGGTACTCACACAAACGTATGTGTAAGTTGCACCATGATGGTTTAAATGAATGTCTTGATAAACAGCAYAGTTATTGCAGAGTACACAGAAACAGACACTTGATGAGGGACCTTTCAGACGATATGTTTTAAAGCGCCTTGACTAATGTTCTACTGAAAAGAATGGCCTGAAGCCTTTCAGCCAATCAGCTTCATCCAACCATCGTGCATGAGCCAAAGCACTGTGGGAAGTATGTCAAATTCTTTATCCTTCCAAACAGAGACAGTACAGCATTCCTTTACATCGGTTTAGTGAGTCAGATGCAGCTGCATCCTAAACCGAAGGCACGTGAAAAACAGATTTAACTTTTGCTATCAGAAATATAACCAACTTAAAAAAGTGACAATAAAAAGCAAACAAAATAAATATTTGCAAACAAATTAAATTAGTAAAAAAAACATGCAGATGGACACAAACTATCCTGTTCGTTGCATTCACTTACACTAAAAGTAATCTGTGCAGTAGTGCCATCGCTCTGCATTATTGTAAATCCACAATGTGACGAAGTACCATCTAAAGAAATGGCAGCACTCAAGTTAATCTACACAAAAAACATAACTGCCACTGGCTGGATATTTACTTTAGCGAGCAGTTTTAAAGCAAACTGATAACTTGCTATAACAACAGCTGCTTGCATGTGTGCCTATAAGTTTGTCCTATGAAGCAGGATGAGTGACTCATCAAGGTAACTGCAGATTTAACTCTGAGTTTCACGTTTCAATAAGCTGGTTTGTTTTCTGTGTGCGGAAACATTTCAGGCTTCCAGATCGGTACATGGATTAGAAACATCACAACTAATCAATTCTCTATTTAGAATAGAACAAAAAGAAAACAGACAAACAAAATAGTCGATTAGAGTGTGGACAGTAAATAAAAAAAGAAAAGAAAAAGTTGATCAGTAAAAACAAAACCACACAGGAAAGATCCTCACACTCAACGTTATTTCATGTTTAGTTTCCATCTGAATGAACAAGATTTCTGTTGCTTTTTTTGTTTGAATTATAGCATTTCATCTGCAACTCAAGGCTCATACCAGCAAAATGAAACTAAAGTTAAAGCACAAGCATTTCAAGGTCCCGCTTCAAGACTCGTTTATGTTAAACAGCGTAAATAAAATGATATAATGGTGACTTCTTTCACAGAACCCTGCAAGATCAACTTAAGATGGGTTTAGCATGAGTGTGTTTTAGTGCTGGGCGGTATACCATTTTGTACCGAAAACTGTTTATTTTTGTAATGATATGAATTTTCTGAATACCGGACATACCGGTTTAAATAGCCTGAACATGTTCGGAACGTTTTGTCACTGCCGTCAGTGAACTGTTTCCCAGGGGACACTTTTCCTCGCAGCACCGCTACGTGCGTTAGCATGCTAATGTTATTATTGGAGCAGCTTGTTGGAGTAACTGGCGGCGGGTGGTGTTTCACTGCTTATATTGACTGAAGTAAAAAAAAAAAAAATCCCATTTTCACCATCGCTGAATGTAGTAAACACCTCTTCAGTGAAGTGCACGGTTAGATTTAAAGGGCAACGTTATAATGGAGACGACTTTAACGTGCTTTTATTGTGAAAAGCCCGGGGGAAGTAGTTTTGTAGTAGAGCTGAGTTGACTGGTGTGCAAGGTGAGTCGTCTTTTTAAGTTTTATTAACACACAAAGATAGACCCGATAATGATCTTTTCTCAACCCTTTATGATCGGACCAAAATGCATCATTACTGTCTACAACCAGGCAAAGAAGAACAGACGTACAGAGGAGGGAAACAGCGACACAGACAGATGTACAGTAAAAGAAAAGTCAATAAGCAACATTTGTACATTTTATTATCAGCTAAGCTGTGATGAAAAAATAAAGATACCGTCAAATACCGTGAAATAAAATTTGGGTCATACCGCCCAGCTCTAGTGTGTTTTACTTCCAAGTTCTCTTTATCAAATGTCTCCAAAACCTAGTTGCCTCATCCTGCTAAAGAGCCAAATAAACAGTATGTTTACTGTTTCTGTTGGGTCTCTTTTACACTCAATGCATTAAAAAACTGCAACCTTCAAACCAGAAAGATGACAACTCAGACAGCTACAACTGATGGTGACAAAATAACGACTGTAAAACAACTGTTACAGTTACTTAGCTTTGGAGTCTAGCAACATTTTTAAAACAAGATCCGTAAAAAACAAGTTCTTGGTCTAACAGCCGATGATCGATCCCACCTCTCTTACCCTGCACTTTTGCAAGGAAAGCCGTTATTGGAACTCACTGATGGCTCCGCAGGGAGAGTGATGGTTTATGCATGTTACGCCTCCATGTATTGATTAATGAGCTGGTGCTGCAAGGTGCTTACTCAGCACACACTCACCTGTGTGTGTGTGTGAACATGATGTATGGAGAGGGTGTGAGTGTGAATGTATCACATATGACAGCTGTGTCATATCACCAGATTTGTGGTTGCATGTGCTTTGCCTACCTGCCGTTGCTCATCTGCCGAGGTGAGTGGCGGAGGTGGTCCACCGTTTCTATCCTGTCGGGGGAACGTGATCGACCTCTCCCGTGGGAGGGGTTGGAATGGTCTGATGTCAGTGAATGTATCTCTGAAATATCTGTGAAAATAAATGAAAATCGATATGACCTAAATTAAATAACAATTTAAAATTAATCAACATTCTCTTGTTGCAGTGCTTGGATTGTTTTCTCTTTTGTAAAACTCCCTTCAGCTGGATTTAAAGCTAAGCTTCACGAGTGCCGTCTCACCATCTCTGTCTGAGTTATTGCCTGATGGGATGCTATCATCAAGGTCAGGAATGTTGAGCAGCGTGGCTCTTTCATCTCGCTGCACCACCATCTTCAGCTTGCCTTTTGACCTCTCAATCAGRTTCTTGGCATCTACCAGTGAGAGGTTCTCTGTAACTGTGCCATTGATCTGCCAGAGGGAAAGAAAGGCAGCTCAGCATAAGACAGAAACACTGCGATTTTTCTGTGATATCTACAAGTTTTGAAATATTTAAATTTAGCAACATGACAAACATTGAAAGAGAAAAAAATTGGGCATAAAATAATTATAAATAAACAATTTCATTTAGCGACTCTTCTATTATTTTACCTTAAATCAAATTACCCAATTAAAACGTGTTCTCAGCTGACGGAAAAAATTATCCACTCAAAGAGAAAATAGGGGGAAAATAAATCAATAAAAAATAAACAATGTGTGGCATTTCTGTTAGCCAGCCAGCAAACTAATCAATCATGACCTCACTGTAGAAGCCACATTTGTCAAATCACAACCTGCGATAAAGTTTCAGTAAAAACAGAAACGCGATGCTCTCGTATTTTGCTCGGCCGCGTTCAGGTCAATTTGCACGAAAGGTCACTTGTCTCACCTTAAGTACAACGTCTCCCTCTCGGATGTTTCCGTCTCTAGCAGCAAGGCTCTCTGGAGAGATGTCTTTCACAAAGATGTGGCTGGCCAGCCGCAGGCCGTATTCTGTTTTCAAAGGTGATAAGAAGAAAGCCAGAATGTCAAACGTTATCTGCGGCACGTAGCCATGAACGCTCGGCAAACAAGATTATCAGGCTTGTCTAATTTGAAAATTCTGATTGTTTTTTGTATGCTTTGTATAGTCCAAAAGAGAGAAAAAAAACTTTTAAAGATACCAGGACAGAATGAGGCGCACCTTCATTTTTGCGGGATTTGACGAGGGTGACCTTGGAAGGCTTGGGTGGAGCTAATGAAGCTTGTGAACGGCGATCAGATCGTGGTGAGATGCTCCTCTCACGCGAGGCACTGTGATCCCGCCTCCCGCTGTTGCTGCGCTCACGGTCCTGACGTCTGCTGGTGCCCCCGCTCGCGCCCCCGTGGGGACTCTGGCCAACGCGACCGCTGCGTTGCTCGTAAGCTTTATCTTCATTCTCGTCGCTGTAGTCCTCCTCGTGCTCAGACATCGTTTCTCTGTCACCTGGCTTGGAAACTGGGATTTGTACTTTCCTTTTCCGACGAATAGTCTTGGAGGAGAAACAGGTTTTTGGTTATTACAGAGGGGAACACATTTTGAAATGCAAAAAAAAAATATTGTGAATTTTGAGGATTCTCTGTAACATCGTAGATTATTTTGGAAATAAATTGTCAAAACTTACAATCTTTGCATTTTTGCCACTTTTGCGAAGTTGCTGAACAGCATATGAATGGTCCACATTGTCCATTGAGACTCCATTGACCATAACAACTCGGTCATTTTCTCTAAAAATTAAACAAATAGATGAAAGTAAGCTCCAAAAATGCTCTTAACACATAGCTTTAATATAAAATAGAATAAAGTTATGCAGTGCACAAACATACTGTAGTAAACCCTCTGCAGGACCTCCTTTCAATACATCAGATATCACAATGGACGTCTCTCCACTTTGGAAATGAGGGTTGTCTCGCCCACCTGAGATGGCGATGCCAAACCCAAATCCAGCAGCCTGAACACACAAAAACAGACAAGACTAACGGATACCGCTAAGAACTAGTGTTAACCAAATAAGGAAATCTTTGTTGACAACTACAAGCTATGCAGCCATACTTTCTAGGAATGCTGTACTTTTGTCTTTGTAAAAGACAGAAAGACAGTCCCAAAGGTAACATGCTGTGTGAAGCTAACAGTTAATCCCACTACCACAACACAACAGCTCTGARGTAAGGCTGAGAACTGCAGGTCACACAGGGCCACTTCTTCAGCCTTGATAAAGCCTCTACTAATTAGATTACAGCAAGCAGCCCAGTCTAGACAGGTGCTCTGTGCAATCCCACCATAGAGCAGCATCAACAATTAGAGTCTACTGTCTGCAAAACTACAGTCAGACATCTAGAATACAGCAAGACAGTGATTTAGAGCTTTGACTCAAAATAGTTTGATTGTTAAAGCTGAGGTTGCTGGATGTGTAACATTAACTAGTGATATACTTAAAACAGTAGATTGGAAGTACAGTTTATCATAATTTAAGGGTGGGGGGAGCAAATCAAAAATACTGCTCTCTTTTTTTTCCTGTCTGGGTTTGTATTAAGAAGAGGAGTATGTTGCCAGGAAGGAAGTGAAATGAAGTAGTAAGGAAAAGGATGCTAATTTTCATCTTCCTTAGTCTTGTTTCCTGCCATCTGGATTCCCTGACTATTGTTTCACGAGCACACATCCTGCTCCTGCAGCAGAGTTTCTCTGCGCAGAGACAGAAGAGACAGAGATGGACAGAGGACAGAACGGAAAAAAAAAGGGAGGAGTGTGTAGCCGAAGACATGTGGAGACGAAAATGAGCAGACATGGAAAAATGGATTAAATAGTTGTCGACACTTACCCTGTGAAGGGTCACTGTGTGCTGTTCCCATATGACCGTTTCCTCCACAGCTGCACTCTGCATTGCAAGACACAACAGCAAAATGATTAGTATACCGAGAAACATTCAAATATAATGGGTTTCACTGTTTTTGAAAAGATTTAAAGCTTACACGTTCGTAGGAACTGTATTAGACTGCTAAAACTGAAAGGTATGTCTTTTACATAAACAAGAGAAGTACAATGAGCTGCAAGAGAATTTATTATACCACCTATGAGATTAGTTTAAAAAATGATTTGTTAGGTTCTGTGAAATGAAAATATAAACGTAGCTGTACTAGAAAGCATAATTTAATGACCTTAACACAGACAGGGTATGCAGGGTATTTTAACAAATTTAACACGCTGCAGATGACAGATACAGTGGTTTGCAAAAGTATTCATACCCCTTGAACTTTTCCATATTTTGT